GATTGCAGCAATTCGGTCACATCTTCAGGCTCCACTCCTAATTCCAGTTCTCTTGCTATTTCCACCATATCTGCAATTGCTTCCTCTGCTGAAATCTTGAACCCCTCAGAGTCACCCATGAGGACTGGGATCAGCTTCTTCCAAACTCTTGTTAATGTGGATATTTTCACCTCCCATCACTCATAAATGTTCTTAATGGCATCTGAAGTGGTGAATCGTTTCTAAAAGGTTTTCAATTTACTTTGCCAAGATCCATCCAAGGAATCACCATATTTGGCAGGTATAGCCTTATGAAATGTATTTCTTAAACAATATGACTTGAAAATCAAAATTACTCCTTGCTCCATGGGCTGCAGAATGGATGTTGTGTCAGCAGGCATGAAAACAACATTTATCTCCTTGTGCATCTCCATCAGAATACTTGGGTGACCGGGTGCACCGTGAATGAGCGAATATAGTGAAAAAAACCTTTTTTCCCTGCAATTGGTCTCAACAGTGGGCTGAACCTATTCAGTAAAACAACCTGTAAACAGATGTGTGGTCATCCAGGTTTTGTTGTTCCATTGCCAGAGCACAGGCAGAACAGATTTAGCATAGTTCCTAAGTGCCGTACAGTTTTCAAAATGGTAAATAAACATTGTCTTCGGTATAAAATCAACAGCTGCATTAGCGCCTATAAAGAGAGTCAGCCTGTCCTTTGCAGCTTTGGACACAGGAATTGAGGTCTCCTTTCTAGCTATGAAAGTTCTAGATGGCAGCTTCCAGTAGAATGCTGTTCCATCTGTACTGAAAATCTGTTGTTTAGTGTAGCCACCTTCCCCAGTGAGCTCAGCTAGATCTTCTGGAGAACTTGCTGCTGCTTCTCCATCAGCACCTGCTCCTTTACCTTACACTTTTATGTTATGGAAACGGCTTCTTTCCTCAAACCTCATAAACCAAAAGTTGGAAATAGCTTCCAACTTTTCCTCTGTAGCTTCCTCACTTCTCTCAACCTTCGTAGAACTGAAGAGAGCTGAAGTCTTGCTCTGAATTAGCTCTCCTTTGGCGTAACAGAATGTTATGTCTGGTTGGCCTTCTACCCAGACTACTCAAACTTTCTCCGTATCAGCAATAGGGCTGTTTCACTTTCCTTTCATACATGTGTTCACTGAGAAGTTCATTTCCTTCAAGAACTTTTCCTTTACCTTTACAACTTGGCTAACTGTTTAGCACAAGAGGCTTGGCTTTTGACCTGTCTCAGCTTTTGACATGCCTTCCTTACTAAGCTTAATCATTTCTAGCTCTTGATTTAAATTGAGAAAACTTTGGGAGGCTGAGGTGTGAGAATTGCTTGAGCCCAGGAGTTCAAAACCAGCCTGGGCAACCTAGTGAGACTTCATCTCTACTAAAAAAGATTTTTTAAAAAAATTAGCTGGGCATGGTGGTGCGTGCCTGTAGCCCCAGCTACTCAGGAGGCTGAAGCAGGAGGATCATTTGAGGCCGGGGGTTCCAGGCTGCAGTAAGCCATAATTGCACCACTGCACTCCAGCCTGGACAATAGAGAGAGACCCTGTTTCAAAAAATATATAAATAAATAATAAAGTGAGAGACATGCAACTCTTCGTTTCACTTGAACACTTGGAGGCCAATGTAGGTTTCTTAATTGGCCCAATTTAACATTGTTGTGTCTCCGGGAATAGGGAGGCATGAGGAGAGGGAGGAGATGGGGGAATGGCCAGTGGAGCAGTTAGGGCACACGCTTTTATCAATTAAGTTCACTGTCTTATAAGGGGACAGTTCGTGGTGCTCCAAAACACTGCAATAGTAACATCAAAGATCACTGACCACAGATCACGATAACAAATATAATAATAATGAAATGATTTGATCTATTGTGAGAATTGCCAAAATGCAACACAGAGACACCAAGTGAACACCTGCTGTTGAAAACATGGTGCCACGGAACTTGCTGGATGCAGCGTTGCCACAACCCTTCAATTTGTAAAAAATGCAATAAAGCAATCTTCTTTTAATAAAGAAGATATGCCTGTATAAACGTAATGCTGGGAGACACAAACTCTTTTTCAGAATATTAGAAAGGAATGATCTCAGGACAGAGGCAGTGGGGAAATGGGTGGGGTGCAAGTGAGCAGGGCTGTGAAGTCTTGAGATTCGCCTCTGCAGTTGCTGATGGAGAACGAGTTATTATTATTATTATTATTATTATTATTATTATTATTATTTGAGACAGAGTCTCACTCTGTCGCTCAGGCTGAAGTGTAGTGGCATGAAGTCAGTTCACTGCAACCTCCACCTCCAGGTTCAAGCAACTTCACCCTGGAGACAGTTTTCTTATTAAATTGCTTGTAATCTCTTAGAAGGATTACTCATTTGATCAGTGGGAGGAACCACTCCCAAAATACCTTTTGAGTCATTTGGGGTTTCTATTGCCTTGCATAAACTTTGAATTATTCTTTTTGTTGAAAAGATTACTATTAGGGAACACGTTCACAAGCAGTCTGTACATGTCATCATATTTCAGCTGGGGACAGAGCTGCATGAGGGTTTGGAGGAGGAGGCTCAGGGAGAAGGCAGCACCTCAGCCTGTTCTCTCAGTGCCCTGGCTGCTGCAACCCAGAGCCCACTGGGCCCAGGCACCTGGCTGCCGCATTCCCAGGGTGGGTCTGCTCATGATGCAGGCAAGACAGGAAAACCAGGACAAGCTCCTGACCAGGCCGAGGTCAGGGACAGCTGCTCAGGTGCCACCAAGCATGAGGCAGGGCACCACCCAAGGCTTCCTGCCCAAACCTGGGACATGCCCTGTTGGTGCTTTGCTGAAACTGTCGTTCTCTAAGAAGGCAATGAAGACAGCTGTCCCAGGCCCCGAAACAAGCACTCACTCCCTTTCCCATGAGACCACCATTTTTGGATAGCGATTCCGTTTGGCTGGGGTTCTCAACCCATTAGAATTGGAATTAAAGAGCAGCGATGGGAAGTGACATTACAAACTCCAATGCCCAGGCCCCATCCCCGACTAATTGAATCAGAAATGCTGGAAGGGGAGCTCGGGACATTATGTTTTTAAAATTCGCCTGGTGAGGCTGACATGTAACCAGGGCTCAGAACCATGGATTTCAAACGAGAAGGCTTTAGCCCAAGAAGACGATGCAAATACAAAATGCCAAAGGGAGAGTCATCAGGTGAGTTTCACAGAAGTCTGATTCTCCTTCTAATAAAGTACATCCCTGGTGGCTGAGACACAGTAGAGCAGCTCCAAATGTGGGACCCGCCAGGGGGATTCGGCATTCCTGCGGCCCCCTCTGCTGGCCATGACGCTCTCAGATTCTCTGCTGAAAGGGAACGGACATAGCAGCCATCCCACTAAACTCTTCAAAGGATGCTTCTCAGATGCCGGAGTCCACAGAGTAGGGCAACATACAAAGCAAGCACCCAAAACACTGGGGATGAGAGTCTCAAAACCTTGTACTCTGTAATTACATCCAGCATCACCATCACTTCTCAAAAGAGAAGACACTTTCCCAGCAAAAATAGAAAAGGAAAGCAGTTGCAGAATAGTTACGACTGAGCCCTGATGTCTGGGGGTCACCGGGTGAAGTAAGAACTTTTAGTTAAGAAATTATTCTTTGGCCATGGCTGTAAAGTAATCTTGTAGTCGGGGCTGGCTTCACGGACACGTGTCCAGGACCCCACACTCAGAAGCATCCTGCCCTGGGTTTAGTGCTCTCTTGAAATTCTTCATAATTTTTGGACAAGGAACTCTGCATTTTCATTCTGTACTGGGCCCTGCAAATTCTGTGCCCAACCCTGATTTTCACTGGTGGATTTGTGTAAACGTGTGCCTTTCAGTTAGTCAATAAATATGTCTTGGGCACTTATCAGTGCCAGTTTCTGAGGACACAGCCATGTCCAGTATCGCTGAGGGCAGGACCCAGAGTGTGCCTCCTCAGAAAGCTTTGCTTCTGGAGGGGCCACACTGAAAATGTTCACCAATGAGAAAGCCTATAAATAAGATGATTGAAAAGATTGGGAATCTAACAAGGATATCTGTGTGAAACAGGAGAGTTCCCTGAACCACCTTGCAGGATGTGCAACAGGCGTATGGCTCATCTGTGCAGCTGCCATGTGTGTTCAAACCCCTTACAGGAGGGAGAGCATGCAGACGGGCAGGTGCAGGAGCTAGGGTGAGCACCCCTGGGCTCCAGCCCCACAACAGCATCCAGGGGTGGGAGTCTATGACTCCCGAAGCCCAAGTAGGCCTGTGTTACTGTGCACTCTTTTAGCCTTGCCATTCGTGAAGGGCTTAAGCGTTAACCAGCATAATCTTGGTACCCAGGTCCTTGTCCAGCATTCAGGAAGAATCAGGTCACACATGGACTTGAAGGATGGTGAATGCAGGGATTTTACTGGGTGGTGGAGGTGGCTCTCAGCAGGATGGATGGGGACCTGGAAAGGGAATGGGGTGGGAAGATGATCTTTCCCTGGTTTGGCTGTCCCAGGGCCGATCTCTCTGACTATCCCCAGCTGACGTTCAGACGCTCCTTCTCTTCTCTCCTCCTCTGCAACTGTTCTTCTGCTCATCCGCTCACGGAACCTGGGGCTTGGGGTTTATATGGATACAGGATAGGGGGCCACAGCAGGCCAAAAGGCAACATTTGGGCACGAAAACAGGAGTGCCTGTTCCCATTCAGGGCTGCAGGTTTCCAGGCTTGGGGGTGGGGCCCCTGCCAGGCAGCTGCCCTCTTTTACCCGGTAGTTCCCTATTTCCTGTCTGTGTCATATGGAGGCTATAAAATGGATAAGTGTGGCAGGTGGCAGCAGGTAGCAGAGGCCCAGGAAGCGTTTTTGAAGGAGATGATGTGGGAGCTGGGACTGGCAGGAACAGGGAGCCATTATTTAAAGAACAAAGCAAAAGCAGCCGGGTGAAGGGGCATGTGGGAGGCTGGCAGCAGGTAGGCCATGGGGGAACGTGGGTTTTGTTTAAAAAAAAGAGTAGAGAGGGGTCACTGAAACCATTTAATTGGGGAATCATAAGGTGAGGAAACATTTAGGACAGTAAAGAGCCAATGGCAACTGGCAGACCCAGGGGGCACGTGGCAGCTGTTCAGCCAAGGCAGAGGACAGTTGGCCGAGACCAGTGTTTCTCCACTGGGCGCTACTGAAATTTGAGCCAGGTAAGTCTTGATTGTGGGCCGTCCTGTGCAGTGTAGGATGTTGAGCCGCATCCCTGGCTTCTCCTCACCAAACACCAGTGGCTCCCCTCCCCCTGAGTTGTGACAGCCAGAACTCTCTGCAGACGTTGTCGAATGTTCCTTGGGCATCAAAATGGACTGTGGTTGAAAATCACTGGCTTAGGGTGATGGGGGTGGACAGGGAGAGAGTGAATAGAGTCAGGATGTGTCTTGGAAATAGGACTGAGAGAGCTAAAACTGACGGGTTGAATTGGGGGAAGGGTATTAAGGGGAAAATGACTCTGTTTCCAGCTTGAAACATGATGAACAGTAGGAAAACGTGATGAACAGCAACATCATCTGGGCTGAGATCTGCCGGGGGCATGAGGAGCCGCGTGGGTATCAGGGAGAGATCATTACCAAGATTTCCATTTCAGCCAAATCGATTTGCTTTCTTCTCATCAGACAAAAACTTCCCACCACACAGCTGCTGGGATGATCCAACTCTAGCAGACAGTGTTGATTGGCTATTAGGGCTGCCAGAAAGAATACAATATGCCCAGTTAAATTCAAATTCTAGCTAAACAGTGAATAATTTTTAGTATAAGTTATACCCCCCAAAACTGCATGGGACGTATGCTAAAAATTATTTATTTATCTGAATTCAAATTTAACTGGGCATCTACAACATTTTTGAGATTTTGTTTTTAGTTTTGTGGGGGAAGGCGGGGATGGGGCTTTACTCTGTTGCCCAAGCTGGAGTACAGTGGCATGATCACATCTACTGCAGCCTTGACTGCCCTGACTCAAGTGATTCTCCCACCTCAGCCTCCTGAGTAGCTGGGACCAATGGCACACACTGCCACACCCGGCTAATTTAAAAAAATGATTTGTAGAGACGAGGTCTCCCTGTGTTGCCCAGGCTGGCCTCAAACTCCTGGGCTTAAGGGATCCTCCCACCTGGCTTCCGAAAGTGTTGGGATTACAGGCAAGAGTCACCAGGCCTGGCCCGCGGCATTTTTATTTACATATTTTTGCTGTATCTGAGGCCCTGTCACCTACCTGTCTTTATCCTGTTTTGGTTCAGTTATCTGGAATCCATGGGCTTCGGGGGTGGTTCGGTTCAACAGTGAAACTTGATTGGTCCAAGCTGGTCATAGTAATTCCATTTCTTGCTAATGATTGGTTTAGGAAAAGAGGATGTGATACAATGTTAGCCAATAAGAGCTGACAGAACATCTGGAAGTTGGGAGCTTTGGGGAAGTTTCTTCTTACCACTCTTAAGCAGGCTCATGAAGAAGACACTGCTCTCCCTTCTTCTGTGTTGGTATGAAGATATTATGTGTGGAGCCTGGCAGCCACCTTGCAACCACGAGCAAAGCCTGAGGATGAGGACAATTTGGGGAGTATGGCAGGGCTGAAAGTTGTGGTCTTAGTAGCACCACTGAACCTCCAAATCTGCCAGTCCTTGAGCCACTGACTCCCTTTCGGGCTTCATGTTGACGAAGTAACAAATTCCTTATTATTGGAGCCATTGGAGATGGTTCTTCTGTGCCTTGCTGTCAAGCACATCCTGACTGCTGCCTCAGCCAGCCACTGTGCCGCAGGAGCCCTGAGGCTAGGTTTTGCCAAGGGAGATACAGAACACAAGTAGGGAAGAGGCTGCAGGATGATGAGTGAATAGCTGGATTAGAGCTTCCTGGCATATCAGCCTCACACTCTGACAACATCAAAGAAACATCTTTCTTGCCACTTCTCCTCTTCTTGTTTCATTCACATTGAGAGAAAGTTCTCCATGATGTCCCCCATTTCTGTACATCTTGTGAGCAGAGGCACTGACAGCTTTTCTTCTATGCTATCTTTACAAGGAAACAACTTAGTAGACAGAGAAGCGTCTCCCTCTGGGGCAGCAGCCAGATTTGTTTGCTGTAGTTTACAAAGTTGATGTCTCCCTCCAGGGCAAAGGCTGATCATGTTTGCTTGTCCATCATCAATGATTTGGATTTTCTAAGCTCAGGATTCCTCAGCTGTGGAATCGCCACATCCAGCTGAGGATAGCCTTCAGCCTTAGCAGCTCTCAGACTCCTCAGGGACCCTGGCCCCCACCATGCCCCAGATGGCCCCTGGGCTGTTGGGTGACCATGGAGGGCCACCCCTTTGTATCAGGGATTTGGATATAATTAAAGTCTTAGTTAGAAAATCTTATCTGTCACTGAGCAGCCCAGAAGGGTAGCCCTGCTCAGAACTGAGAAGCTTCTTTAGGTGGCTCTTGAAGCTGTCAAACAGCCCCTCTGCAAACTGAGACCAAGGCCATATCAAATGCTTGCGGTTTCCCTCGGTCTTTGTTATGTCCCAGAGTCTGGAATCCTGGTAATTACAGAAAGAGCTCAAGTCGGGAATGAAGGGAAGGCGTCAGAAAGTTATCTGTCTCAACAGAAGGAAGAGAGGAGAGGGAAAGAAAGGGAGAGAGAGACAGAGAGAGAGAGAGAGAGATACAGGGGGACCAAGGCTGCATGCTGTGAGCAAAGGATGGTCCTCAAAGGAAAATCAGAGCAGTCCTGTGGGAAGGGAGGATGAGGCTGGCCTGGCTAATGAACAAAACAGAGCAAAAACAGTCCCACAAACCAGAGAGCTACTACACCATGTTTTCCAATGTTGAGAGCGCCAATGATGATCATCACATTCAAAAAGCACATCACCAAGCAGAATGTAAGCAGGTATCATTTCATTTTTCAAAAAAGAAGCACCCATTCTATACCAGTCTATCAACTGTGATGCTCTGTGGATGAGTCACAGTAGAGGTTTTTAAACAGCTTTCTGTTGCTCTGCCTGCATCTGCTAATTTTCCTACAATGGATGTATTCTAGCAGTTCCCATGTCATGAACCCACCAAAGGAATAAAAGACAGAAAACTAAGCAAACAAGCAGATCCTCCAAAGCCCTTTCTCCTTAAGTTCTGTCTGCACAACAAAGACCAGTGAAGAAATGAAAAGCTGCAGTCAGTTTTCTGACTTTGCTGGCTGGGAGAAGTGATTTGGACGCATCTTTTCCAGGTATTTGGGAACATGGCTCTGTCCCTGGGTGAGGAAACCTCAATTTCAGGTTGCTAACTAATCACAAGTGCACCTTCCATGACAATCTCCTTAGGGCTGCACTTTCAGGGCAGGAATAACATCGGGGCTGCTGACCTTGTTAGCAGGTCACGGGTGGCACCCTTGGCAGAACCTCCTGGTGGCCCTGCTGGGGTTCCTGGGGTCCTAGGGATGAAGACATCCTCTTTGTTTCCGTTTAGGATGGTTCTGATTACAGATGAGGGCAAACTGGAATAAATCACAATCAGCCCTCCTCCAGCCAGTGGCTCAGGGCTCTGTTGATTACAGTATCGTTAGCGGGAAGGCGGAGTTAACAGGGAAGACACAAGCTGATGTGGCTTGGATGTCATCCCCTCTAAATCTCATGTCGAATTGTGATCGCCAGTGTTGAAGTAGGGTCCAGTGGGAGGTGTTTTGGGTCCTGGGGGCGGATCCTTCCTGGAAGGTGCTGCCCTCATGATAGTGAGTGAGTTCTCGCAAGATCTGGCTGTTTAAAAGTGTGTGACACCTCCCCCCACCTCTCTCTTGCTCCTGCTCTGACCTGTGATATGCAGGCTGTCCCTTCACCTTCTGCCAGGACTGTAAGCAGCTCAAGGCCTCCCCAGAGGCCAAGCAGATGCTGGCATCACACTTCCTGTACAGCCTACAGAACCATGAGCCAGTTAATCTTCTTTTCTTTGTAAATCACCCAGCTACAGGGATTCCTTTATAGCAACACAAGAATGGTCTCACAATGGCCTTGGGCTTCAGTAAGGGCTCCAAAGACAGGCAGATGTGAATTCCACTCCAGGAACAAACTCCTCCTGGCTGGGGGACCTGGGACAAGTGACTTCACCTCTGAGCCTCAGTTTCCACCTCTGGAAGAGGGGGATGGTAGGTGTATTAGTGGGAGTTCTCCAGAGAAACAGAACAATAGAATACATATATATATGAAGAGGAATTGGCTCACATAGATACGGGGGCTGAGAAGTCCCACTATCTGCCATCTGTAAGCTGGAGACCCAGGAGGGTCTGGGATAATTCAGCCCAAGTCTGAAGGCCTGAGAACCTGGGGAGCTGATGTTGCAAATCCTAGTCCAAGGGCAAGAGAGGATGAGTTGAGATGTCCCAGCTCCAGCTGGTAGACAGGAAGCAAAAGGGTGAAGCCCTCTTCTGCCTTTTGTTCTATACAAGCCTTTAAACAATTTGGACAAGGCCCACCCACATTGGGGAGGGCCATCTGCTTTACTAAGTGAATCAATTCAAATGTTAATCCCATTTGGAAACCCTCTTACAAACACACCAAGAATAATGTTTAATCTGGGCATTAATTGTGGCCCAATCAAGTTGACACACAAAATTACGGTGATGGAAGGAAGACTCCCTCATTGGCAGGATGAGGGGGGGAAGAGGTGGGCGTGGCACACAAGTTCTTGGCCAGTGGCAGCCTTTCTCATGTGTCAGAGTAAAGATGGGGCATTTACCAACATCCCCTCCCTTGTCGCCCAGTTCAGCCATTGCTTTGTCTCCTGCCCTCTGGGGAGACTTGCCCTGTATCAAACCCTTTGGGTTCTTGGACCTCCTTGCTGGGATGCCAGCAGGTCAGGAAAGCCTGGATGTGATGGAAGGACAGACGAAGGCTTTAAAGGACTAAGACAATCTACAAAATAAAGAGCTGGGAGAGAAAAGAGTGGGCAGAAAAGGTAAAATTTTCCTGCAGGACTCGGGGAGGGACGTGGCACTGGGGATGAGGAAATAAGACACTGAGGGAACATAAAGGTCAGACAATGGGAGAATAAGGAAAAGGGGATCTGAAAAGAGTGGCAGGAAGTCAAGCACTGGGGAACTTTGGGTGATCCAGGATTCTTTGGTTGCAAACAACAGCAATCAGTCCTGGCTGACTTTAGAAAAAGGGAATTCACTGGAAGCTTCACAGAACTGAGTGCAGGCTGGAGATGTGGGACTGAGAATGAGTAGGAGCAAGGCAGGCTGCAGGCTATGAGGCAGGTAGCAGAAACAGTCTGATCAAGGTGCTGCTTCTGTGATGGAATGAAACACCAACCATGTCAGCCTCTTTGTCCCTTTGCTTGAGACTCAGGTTCCAAAGTAGGCCATCTGACTGACTTGGTGTGGTTCATGTGCCTATTTCTGTCTGTTACGTATGGAGGGAAGGGGTGCTCTGAGCCCAGTGCCCTATTTGTAAATGGAAAAGAGCAAGCCCTTGAATCAAAATTGTCATGGTTATGAAGGGGAAATGGGGCCAGGCAACCAAACATGACCAATTTCCATTATGTTCTTTATGTTATTTTGATGGTAGCAAATGGAGGTGCTTTCAAACATTGTTTTGTCTGCAGAACTGTGTACCTTGCACATATCACCTCTCTAAGGTTAGGTCATCAGTCCTCATGGATCATGGCTTCCTTAAGGTTACTTTATTATTAGAAATACATAAACTGGAGAGTCTTGTGATAATTAGGTAAATCAAATGTCGTAGGAATGCAGAAGAGGCAATTTGAGGAAGTAGGGGAAGGCTTCACTGAGGAGGTGACTTTTGGGCACGGTCTTATAGAAGTTTACAGGGCACAACAGCTGATAGGTAGTAGGCGGTAATAAATGCATCTCAATAAATCAACCTTAAGCATGTAGGACTGAAGCCAATTCCGTTCTTCCTAGGAATCTGGGACAAGATTGTCTTGTAACTTGCAGCTTCACCTAACTCAAATACTTCTGTTTAAAACTGCAGGCTTTTGTGGACAATTTCACTTCTTTTAAAAAATAACTTTCATCAAGACCAATGGCACTATTTGACATTAAGTCAAATCATGCAGAGAAAAACTGGGGCAAAAGCCTCATTTTGTAATTTGTCAAAATGGGTTCTGAAAAGCTGTGCTTGCTCCCAAGGGTTTCCTGCAGGCTAAAAGGAAACTCCCTTGAGACAGAAGAAGGAATTCACCATTCAGCCCCAGATGAATGGTCTCAGCCACAGGACAGGAACAAGGACAGGAATCTGCTCACAGGTCCCTGCGCAGCCGCTCTCGGACCAGCTGCAGTACTCAGGCCAAGACACTCAGCTGTGACT